GGTGGGCATTGACCTTGAGTTGTGGAGTTGTAGTTCACCTACATCCAGAGAGCACTGTGGACTCAAACAATGATGGATCTGGACCAAACTTGGCACGAATACTCAATATGCTGAAATGTGAACACTGGAGGTGTTTGAGAAAAATAGACCTTAACATTTGGGAGTTGTAATTGCTGGGATTTATAGTTCACCTACAATGAAATAACATTCTGAACCCCACCAATGACAGAATTGGACCAAACTTCCCACACAGAACCCAATACTATGTTTTCTGATGGTCTTTGGTGACCCCTCTGACACCCCCTCGCGACCCCCACAGGGGTCCCGACCCCCAGGTTGAGAAACACTGGTGTATAATATCTATCATATCTATGGCTAGATGGCAATCAGTCAGGAGGGATCAGATGGTGCCTTCTTGCCAGGCAGAAGGAGGTTGGACTGGATGGCCTTTGGGGGTCCCTTCCAACTCTATGACAAGTCACCAATGAAATGCAGCCCTAGGCAAACATCATAAATCCCATCTAAGGTGATCCAAAAGCCCATCCATCAATCAACCCAAAACCCACCCATCAATTGCAGACCAGTTCCCCATTGTCCCCAATTAGGAAGAAACAGGAAATCCCATCCCTTGAGGGTCCTTCTGCCCATCAGCAACCATGGGCACCATTGTCATGTAGATAGTTAGAAGGGGAAGGTCTACCAGCCACCGACAAAGCCAGGGTCCCCCCAATTGTATTCAAATCCCCAAGTGCCCAACCCATGCACAAAGGTGCATCAGACCTATGAGGAACTGGGTTGGAAGCTGGACCCAATTGGAGCCAAGCCCATTGTTTGGAAATACCCTGAAATAACTGGGATGCTGCCTCTGCCTTTGCATCCTTCCTTGATCAATGAAGACCTACAACTGATCCCTGATCCTGCTCTTTTTAGGGAAACATTGGAGCCGAAAACATTTTCAGGGAAAACAGGGCAACTTGATGGTAAGATGAGGATGATAATGGGGATGATGAAAGTGATAATAATAATAATGCACTCCAATGCAAAGAAATGTTTCTGTTCTTGGTGTCTTGCTTTTCAGGCCTGTCTCTGGGGTTATTTGGGGTCCTAATTCAGAAAGCTGCATTGGATAGACACCTTGGGGATTATGGTTGCTGTTGTTATTTATACCCTGATTTTTCCTCTCCACAAAGGAGTCTCAAAGCAGCTTACATGAAATGCAAGTCAATACAACTTAAGATTCAGAATATATATGTGTGTGTACAAACTTTTTTCTAAAAAATAGAAACGTCATGCCTTCTACAGTGTAGATGTTCCTGTTGTTTTCCCCACATTTCTTCCAAGGAGGTAATTAAAACTTGGAGGAAAAAAATTCATCAGTTTTAATTTGCATCAGAGGGAGGGAAAGGTTAGGAGATGCGTGCAAAGGAAGGAGAGCCAAGGCATCACTGTCAGCTTGGCCCAGCTGGGGTTCTCTCCCATCTCCCCAGGAAGGATCAGCTGCTCATGAGCAGGGAAAAGTCTCTAGGAGGGGAACTAAACTTTCCTTCCTTCCTTCCTTCCTTCCTTCCTTCCTTCCTTCCTTCCTTCCTTCCTTCCTTCCTTCCTTCCTTTCTTCCTCCCTCCCTCCCTCCCTCCCTCCCTCATTTTTTGCTTTTAATCTCTATCCTCTTTAAACAAAAACCTTTCATCCTTTTATGTATTACTTCCCACATCTAACATAGTTTCATTGGATATGTTGAAGGCTGGTAGTTACAAACATTATTTAAAGGAATATATCCCAGCCTTTTATTCTCTCTTCCTTCCTTTATTTCCTTCCTTCCTTCTCTTCTATTTCCTTTCCTTCCTCCTCTTTCTTCCCTCCCTCCCTTTATTCCTTCCTTTCTTCTTCCCTCCCTTCTTTCTTTTCTTTCTTTCCTTCCTTCCTTTCCTTCTTCCCTCCCTCCCTTCTTTCTCCTTCCTTTATTCTTCCTTCCTTCTTTCCTCCCTTCCTTTATTCCTTCCTTCTTTCTTTCTTTCCTCCCTTTTTTCTTTCCTTCTTTCTCTCCCCCCTTTCTTTATTTCCTTCCTTCTTTCTCCTCCCTCCCTCCTTTTCCCTTTCCCTTCCTTCTTTCCTCCTCTTTCCTCCTTCCTCCCTCCCCCTTCCCTTTTCCCTCCCTTCCTTTTCCTTCTTTCCTCCCTCCCTCCCTTCCTTTATTCCTCCTCCTTCTTCCCTTTCTCCCTCCCTCCTTTTTCCTTCCTTCTTTCTCCTCCCTCTCTTCTTTTATTCCTTCCTTCTTCCCTCCTTCCTACCTACCTTCTTTCCTCCCTCCCTCCCTCCTTCCCTTCTTTCCTCCTTCCCTTCCTTTATTTCCTTTCTTCTTCCTCCCCCCCTTCCTTTATTCCTTCCTTTCTTCTTCCTTCCTCACTTCCTTTATTCCTTCCTTTCTTCTTTCCTCCCTCACTTCCTTTATTTCCTTTCTTCTTCCCTTCCTTTATTCCTCCCTCCCTTTATTCCTTCCTTTCTTCTTCCTTTCCTCCCTTCCTTCCTTTATTCTTTCCTTCTTTCTTCTCTCCCTCCCTCCCTTTATTCCTCCCTTCCTTCCTTTATTCTTTCCTCCCTCCCTTCCTTCCCTAGTGAAATCCATCCCTGAAACCAGCTCTCCCTTCACCCTGCAATATTTATAGCTGTGAACTATAACTCCCATGGTTCCATCCCTGCCAGATAGAGTAGGGTGCATCTATCCTGTACAAAAAATGCAGTTTGAGGTCACTCTGCTATGGCTCCCTTTCTTCTTCCTTCCTTCTTTCCTTTCTTTCCCCCTCCCTCCTTTTCTCTTCTTTTCCTCTCTTCTTTCTACCTCCATTCCTTCCTGTTTTCCTCCTTCCTTCTGTTCCTTCTTCCCTTTCTTTCTCTTTCTTCCTTCTTCCCTTTCTTCTTTTTTCCCTTTTTCCTTTCCCTCTCTTCCTTCCTCCCTGCTTCCCATTTTCCCTCCCTCCCTTTCTTCCTTTTCTCCTTCATCCCTCTTAGCTGCCTTCTCTTTTCTCTCCCCCTCTTCTTTTCTTTCTGCCTCCATCTCTCCCTTCCTTCCTATCTTCAGTTTTCCTGTAGTTCCTTCTCCCTCCCTCCCTCTTTTTCTGTCTTTCCTTCCTTCTCCCTTCCTTCCTTCTTTTCTCTTCTTCTCCTCCTTCCCTTCCCCCTCCTTCTTTTCTTCCTTTCTTCTTCCCTCCCTATTTTCCCTCCCTCTCTTCTTTTCTTTCTCCCTTCTTTCTTATTGCCTTCATCCTTCCCTTCCTTTCTCTCCCTCCCCCTCCCATCCCCTTTATTTTTCTTCTTCCCCTTCTTCCTTTTCTGTCTCCTTCCTTCCTTTCTCCCTCTCCTTCCTTCCTTCCTTCCTTCCTTCCTTCCTTCCTTCCTTCCTTCCTTCCTTCCTTCCTTCCTTCCTTCCTTCCTTCCTTCCTTCCTTCCTTCTGCAGGCTGCGCCAATGGGCTGCATGTTGCTCACACAAAATACCTTTGCCTGCTCTATATTGGGTGAAATTACAGGCAGGAAACACCAAAACACCTGGAGGGCCCAAGTTGGCCCATGCATGCTCTAAACTAGCCTAACCTATTTGAGTAGGATCAGGGCAGAAGGATAAGAAGGTCATTGCTCTTAACCAGAAGTGCACAGCTGTTCTCGGAATAAGCTGATTGTCCTGGTCAAGAGTTATAATGCAAGACATGGTTTTGTGGGAACTTTTGAAATGTCCCAGCTTCTTTCCGAACCTTCCTCCTCTGTCCTCAGCTTCTTTAGTTTTGCTGCAAACACAAGTTGAACGTGAAAATGATATTTGTGCTGGTAGGAGAGAATTCGGGCTGCAGAACTGAGGCTCAACTCCTTTTCTTTGGTCCTATATTTATTTGCACCTGATTGCAACTGCCCCCATTTGGCAAAGACAGTCCCAGTTAATTCTCTGCTGTCCCATTGTTGCTTTGAAAACATCACAGTTTATCTCTTCCTGTTTTTGTCCCTTCATCCTTAGCTTACTTTGTAATTCCTGCAAATTGGTGCAAAAAGTGTGCAGTTAGTGAACTCAGACCCAGTTCAAAATTCCTGCAAATTGGTGCAAAAAGTGTGCAGTTAGTGAACTCAGACCCAGTTAATAATTCCTGCAAATTGGTGCAAAAAGTGTGCAATTAGTGAACCCAGACCCAGTTCATAATCACTGCAAATTGGTGCAAAAAGTGCAGTTAGTGAACCCAGACCCAGTTCATAATTCCTGCAAATTGGTGCAAAAAGTGTGTGGTTAGTGAACTCAGACACAGTTCATAAACACTTCAAATTGGTGCAAAAGGTGTGCAGTAAGTGAACCCAGACCCAGTTCATAATTCTTGCAAATAGGTGCAAAAAGTATGCAGTTAGTGAACTCAGACCCAGTTAATAATCACTGCAAATTGGTGCAAAAAGTGTGCAGTTAGTGAACTCGGACCCAGTTCATAATCACTGCAAATTGGTGCAAAAAGTGTGCAGTTAATGAACCCAGACCCAGTTCATAATCACTGCAAATTGGTGCAAAAAGTATGCAATTAGTGAACTCCAATTCCATCTCCACTGACCATTCAATGCAGTTTGGAAGCTAGCTTCAAACTGTGGCAACCAGACCACAAACTCCCACAAAACGGTACAAAAGGAAGTCCTTAATATTCATCCGTAATCTCATCACCACCCAGGACACAAAACAGTTCTAGAATTAATTGCATAGTGAAATTGGTTTGGAACTGCATTAAGTGGTCAGTGTAGATGTGCGGAGGAGGAAAGGGTACAGTCTGCTCTTCTGGAGCAAAGCCATTTTTCATGCCTCACAGCCAGCCAGTTCCTGTGTATGTTTTCTTTCCTATGAATGCTTTGTGTGGTGAAAGCAGATAAGGGAAGTATGCAACTCTGAGAACTGCCTGAAACTGCTTTCGGTGCACAAAGGAAACCAGATGTCTTCTCGGAGCATGCGTAGTTGTGGCCGCAAAGCCTACTTTCTGATTGTTTGCTGAAAAGTGCAAGAGTTTTCCGGCCTTGGGCACTCCCCCAGACTGCGCAGCCCTTGGGATCTAAAGACACTCTCCGTATGTGTTTCTTTTCTGAGCAGATCCAGAGTTTCTTTATCAGCGCAAAGTGGATATTTGAGTCGTGCCAACCATTTGGACCCATCAAGACTCGGACCTGGATTCACCTGGGTGACCCCAACTTCACAAGCGAGGTCAGCGTCTGCCACGAAACTCTGCTCCAAACAACATGGGCCAGGCCAACAGCATCCCATCGGGGAGCCCCTTGGACACCATGTGCCGGTTGTGGGATAGGGGGTTGTTGCAGAGGCACCCAGACCTGCGTCGGAAAAAGATGATCAAGTTGTGCACCAAGACGTGGCCCGGATACAACGCAGCAATCGCAAACCCAGAGGAGTACTGGAGCCCATGGGGATCCTTCAAACCTGGGCCTCTTCGGAGGATCCGGTGCCAACTGCAAAAGCATCACATCGAACAGCTGGATTACTTGGCTTTGTGGGAAGCATACAGTGAGAAAAAGGCTGCCCGTGAACAGGATGTTTCGGAGGCAAAGAAGATCCATAAGGAAGATGCTCCGGTTTTGGGTGTCAATGAGAAGCCGAAAACTCGCCGTGCGCCACCACCTCCACCTCCTGTTGCATTGCCACATCCATCGCCAGCTCCCAGTGCGGTGCAAACATCTCCAGCTCCTGTTGTATTGCCACCACCACCATCAACTTCCAATGTGGTGCCACCGTCTCTGTATCCTGTTGCATCACTACGTCAATTGCAAGCTTCCAATGCCATACAACCATCTCCAGCTCCTGTTGCATTGCCACACCCATCACCAGCTCCCAGTGCGGTGCAAACATCTCCGGCTCCTGTTGTATTGCCACCACCACCATCAACTTCCAATGTGGTGCCACCATCTCCGTATCCTGTTGCATCACCACGTCCAATGCAAGCTTCCAATGCCATACAACCATCTCCAGCTCCTGTTGTGTTGCCACCACCATCATCAGCTCCCAATGCAATGCCACCATATCTATCTCCTGCTGCATTGCCTCATCCATCATCAGCTTCCAATGTGGTGCCACCATCTCCATATCCTGTTGCATCACCACATCCATTGCAAGCTTCCAATGCCATACAACCATCTCCAGCTCCTGTTGCGTTGCCACATCCATCGCCAGCTCTCAATGCGGTGCCACCATCTTCAGCTCCTGTTGTATTGCCACCACCATCATCAACTTCCAATGTGGTGCCACCATCTCCGTATCCTGTTGAATCACCACGTCCATTGCAAGCTTCTAATGCCATACAACCATCTCCAGCTCCTGTTGCATTGCCTCATCCATCACAGGTTCCCAATGTGGTACCACCATTTCCAGCTCCTGTTGCATTGCCACCACCATCATCTCCCATTGTGGTGTCACCTACACCAGCTTCCATGGGGCCAGCGGAGAAGTTGGCTCCTCCAAGTCCTCTCCAAAACGAGACCAGCACTTCCAACACCTCATTGCAGGACTTGGAGACACGTCAGCAACCCCTGGACAGTACCCAAAAGGCCTTGGAGAAGCCAGAGCCCCCCACAGGACCCTCTCAAATCTGGTTGCAATGGGACTTGGAAGAGTGCAAGAAATTGGCTGGAACTTTCGAGACCGATCCAAACTCGTTCATCCGCTTACTGGAAAGGATGTTCTCCACTTATAACATGAGTTACCAACGTTGCGAGGAGCTGTTGATCAGGATGTTGACCGAAAAGGAGCTTGATTGCCTCTGGGAAAAAGAACGCACTTGCTACGATGGAGGGTCGTGGAGAGAAGGAAAGAAGCAGGCAAGAGAAGGCCTTCCGAGAGAAGTGTATAGGGTCAGGCTGGTGATGGACCGAAACCAGTTGTTGTCGCACTTGAGGAAGATGGCTAATGAGCAACAGTTGGCCAAGTTCATGGTTTGCAGGACAAAGCAGAACGAGTCTCCCCAACAATTCTGGAGCCGGTTCCTTCAAGAGGCAAAATTGGCTTGTTTGGACCCAGACAATCCTGATGATCAGGTTGCATTGAGATCCCACTTCATCTTTCAATCTCATAATTTCATCCTGGACTATTTCCAAGATCATTATCCCGGGTGGTGTTCATACAGCACCGAGAAGGTGCTGGAGTTGGCCCAATCCATTTGGGAGGAGGAGAAGGAGAAGGAGAAGGAGAAGGAGGAAGAGGAGGAGAAAGAGTTCGAGAAGATGGCCAAGATGATCAAGGTGGCACTCCAAGAAACATATGGAAACGGAGGGGGTCAAGGTGGTTGGGGAGGGAGGAGAGGAGGAGGACGGTGGAGAAATAAGGCTTGTTACCTGTGCGGGAAGATGGGCCACATCATGCGAGATTGCTACTGGAACACGGGGACGAGGTGGTAGTCTTCCCATTTCAGCACAAGGTTCTGAAAAGGGGAGGAGTTGAGAGGGACCTCAAAGGCTATCCAGCCCACCCCACCTCACAATATAGATCATAGACTCATGGAACTGGGAGATACCTTGTTGGCCATTCAAGAAGACACAACCCAATCCCTCCCAATAGGTGGCCATCCAACCTGTAGAGAAGGAGACTTCCCTGGGTTCCCAGGCAGCGTAGTCCATAGTTTCACCGTCAAGTTCTTATAACGTTCCTTTCCCTGGAATTTCAATTCATGTCTCCATTGTGTCCTAGACTATAAAAGGACAAGACAGTACTTCTCAACTTGTGGGTCCCCGTAGGACCGTGCTTCTCAACTTCTCAACTTTTGGCCTTTGACTCCCAGAAATCCTAACAGCTGGTAAACTGGCTGGGATTTCTGGGAGTTGTTGGCCAAAACATCTGGGGATCCATCGCTTGAGAAGCACTGTCTTAGGATGTTTTCTCAGTGGGTTGCATTGTGATGGTCTTCTCTTCCTGAACCCCTGTGCATGAAGGCTATTTATATCTCTCATGGGTTTGGCTGATGTTCCTAATGCATCGGGACTTCTCCATTGTGGGCAAATATTTCCCTCTCCTTGTAGAAGTGTCTATATGTGCTTTCAGCTTGTGAATGTATGGAGACCTTCTAGCAGGTATGGGCAAACCCAGGCCCAGAGGCCAGATGTGGCCCCTTGGGCTCTTTTCTCAGGCCCTCCTCTCTCTCACCATCCTATCCTTCCTCTCTCCTTCCTCCCTCCCTCCCATCCCTTCCTCTTTCTCCCTCCCACCTTCTTTCCTTTCCATCCTTTCTTCCTTCCTCCCTCCCTCCCTCCTTCCTTCCTTCCCTAGCTCCCTTTTTCTCCTTCCTTCATTCCCTTTTGTTTTTCCTTGCTTCTCTTTCCTCCTTCCTTCCCTCCTTCCCTCTTTCTCCCTCCATTCCCTTCCACCCTCTCGTTCTTCCTTTTCTCTTTCCTTGTTCATTCCATCCCTCCCTCCATCCCTCCCTCCTCTTCCTCTTTCTCCCTCCCACCTTCTTTCCTTTCCATCTTTTTTCTTTTTCCTTCCTTCCTTCCTTCCTTCCTTCCTTCCTTCCTTCCTTCCTTCCTTCCTTCCTTCCTCCCTCCCTCCCTCCCTCCCTCCCTCCCTCCCTCCTTCCTTCCTTCCTTCCTTCCTTCCTTCCTTCCCTATTCCCTCTCCTTCTCTAGCTCCCTTTTTCTCCTTCCTTCATTCCCTTTTGTTTTTCCTTGCTTCTCTTTCCTCCTTCCTTCCCTCCTTCCCTCTTTCTCCCTCCATTCCCTTCCACCCTCTCGTTCTTCCTTTTCTCTTTCCTTGTTCATTCCATCCCTCCCTCCATCCCTCCCTCCTCTTCCTCTTTCTCCCTCCCACCTTCTTTCCTTTCCATCTTTTTTCTTTTTCCTTCCTTCCTTCCTTCCTTCCTCCCTTCCCCTCCCTTCCTTCCTTCCTTCCTTCCTTCCCTATTCCCTCTCCTTCTCTAGCTCCCTTTTTCTCCTTCCTTCATTCCCTTTTGTTTTTCCTTGCTTCTCTTTCCTCCTTCCTTCCCTCCTTCCCTCTTTCTCCCTCCATTCCCTTCCACCCTCTCGTTCTTCCTTTTCTCTTTCCTTGTTCATTCCATCCCTCCCTCCATCCCTCCCTCCTCTTCCTCTTTCTCCCTCCCACCTTCTTTCCTTTCCACTTTCTTCCTTTCCTTCCTTCCTTCCTTCCTTCCTTCCTTCCTTCCTTCCTTCCTTCCTTCCTCCCTCCCTCCCTCCCTCCCTCCCTCCCTCCCTTCCTTCCTTCCTTCCTTCCTTCCTTCCTTCCTTCCTTCCTTCCTTCCCTATTCCCTCTCCTTCTCTAGCTCCCTTTTTCTCCTTCCTTCATTCCCTTTTGTTTTTCCTTGCTTCTCTTTCCTCCTTCCTTCCCTCCTTCCCTCTTTCTCCCTCCATTCCCTTCCACCCTCTCGTTCTTCCTTTTCTCTTTCCTTGTTCATTCCATCCCTCCCTCCATCCCTCCCTCCTCTTCCTCTTTCTCCCTCCCACCTTCTTTTTTCCCTTTTTTCTTTTTCCTTCCTTTCCTTCCTTCCTTCCCTTCCCTTCCTTTCTTCCTTCCTCCCTCCCTCCCTTCCTTCCTTCCTTCTTCCCTATTCCCTCTCCTTCTCTAGCTCCCTTTTTCTCCTTCCTTCATTCCCTTTTGTTTTTCCTTGCTTCTCTTTCCTCCTTCCTTCCCTCCTTCCCTCTTTCTCCCTCCATTCCCTTCCACCCTCTCGTTCTTCCTTTTCTCTTTCCTTGTTCATTCCATCCCTCCCTCCATCCCTCCCTCCTCTTCCTCTTTCTCCCTCCCACCTTCTTTCCTTTCCATCTTCCTTCCTTCTTTCCTTCCTTCCTTCCTTCCTTCCTTCCTTCCTTCCTTCCTTCCTCCCTCCCTCCCTCCCTCCCTCCCTCCCTCCCTCCCTTCCTTCCTTCCTTCCTTCCTTCCTTCCTATTCCCTCTCCTTCTCTAGCTCCCTTTTTCTCCTTCCTTCATTCCCTTTTGTTTTTCCTTGCTTCTCTTTCCTCCTTCCTTCCCTCCTTCCCTCTTTCTCCCTCCATTCCCTTCCACCCTCTCGTTCTTCCTTTTCTCTTTCCTTGTTCATTCCATCCCTCCCTCCATCCCTCCCTCCTCTTCCTCTTTCTCCCTCCCACCTTCTTTCCTTTCCATCTTTTTTCTTTTTCCTTCCTTCCTTCCTTCCTTCCTTCCTTCCTTCCTTCCTTCCTTCCTTCCTTCCTTCTTCCCTCTCTTCTTTCTCTCCTTCTTTCCTTCCTCTCTCTCTTCTTTCTCTCCTTCCTTCCTTCCCTTTCCTTCCCTCCTTCCCTCTTTCTCCCTCCCTCCATTCCCTTCCACCCTCTCGTTCTTCCTTCCTTTTCTCTTTCCTTGCTCATTCCCTTCCTTCCTCCCTCCCTCCCTCCTCTTTCTCCCTCCCACCTTCTTTCCTTTCCATCCTTTTTTCCTTCCTTCCTTTCTTCCTTCCTTCCCTCTCTCCTTCCCTCTCCCTTTTTCTCCTTCCTTCCTTCCCTTTTGTTTTTCCTTGCTTCTCTTTCCTCCTTTCTTCCTCTTTCTCCCTCCCACCTTCTTTCCTTTCCATCCTTTCTTCCTTCCTTCATTCCTTCCTTCTTTCCTGCCTTCCTTCCCTCTCTCCTCCCTTTTTCTCCTTCCTTCATTCCCTTTTGTTTTCTTTCTTCTCTTTCCTCCCTCCTTCCTTCCCTCTTTTCTCCCTCCCTCCCTCAATTCCCTTCCACCCTCTCTTCTTCCTTCCTCTTCTCTTTCCTTCTCTTCCTTTCCTTCCTTCCATCCTTCTCTTCCTCCCTTTATTCCTTTCCTCCTCTTTTCTTTTCCTTTCTTTCATTCTTCCCTTTGACTTTTCCTCCTTTCTTCCCTTTTTTCTTTCTTCCTCTTTTCTCCTTCTTCCTTCCTCCCTCTTTTCTCCTCCTTCCTTCCTTCCCTTCCCTTCTCCTTCCTTCCGTCCTTCCTTCCTTCCTTCCTTCCTTCCTTCTTCCTTCTTTCCTTTCTTCCTTCCTTCCTTCCCTTTTGTTTTTTCCTTGCTTCTCTTTCCTCCTTTCCTTCCCCTCATTCTCCCTTCCCCCTCCCTTTCCCTCTCTTCTTCCTTCTCCTTCCCTTCCTCCTTCCATCCTTCTCTTCCTTTGTTCCTTTTCTTTTCCTTCCCTTTCTTCCTCCCTTCCTTCCCCTTCCTTCTTCTTCTCTTCTTTCTTCCCCTTCTCTTCCTCTCCCTTCCCTCTCCTTTTCTTCTCCTTCCCTTTTTCTTTCCTTTCCTCCCCCTCCTTCCCCCTCTCTTTCTTCTTCCATCCTTCCTTCCCTTCCACCATTTCACCTACCTTCCATCCATCCATCACCAAGTTAGAAAGTTATAGGCTCAGAGATTATTTTGCCAGGGCCTTATCTCTGCAGTATTCATTGGTGGTCTCCCATCCAAATGCTAACCAGTGTTGACCCTGCTTAGATGAGACAAGATGGTCTTTTGAGTATTTAGACCCGGCATAGGCTAACTTGGGCCCTCCAGGTGTTTTGGACTCCAACTCCCACAATTCCTAACAGCCGGTAGGCTGTTAGGAATTGTGGGAGTTGTAGTCCAAAACACCTGGAGGGCCCAAGTTTGCCCTTGCCTGTATTAGATGGATTGCCCACTCTCTAGTTTCAATATGCTTTGGAATAAACTTCCTAGTCTAAGCCCATCATTATGTTTTCCCCCCCGTTACACAATGCTTAGCTGACCTATATCATTTCATGTGTGTGTGTTTTTAATTTTGGATTAAAAGTTTGCTGAAATGAGTTACCATTGTCTTTGTTTTAATTATTTTTTATTAGACTTTCAATAAGAACCCAATGGAAAAAATAACCCATAATATTCCCACCTCAATATAGTACTACATTATTGTTGTTGTTTTTGTTTAATTGGAATATGCCTGTATTAGTGAACAAATCCTTTTACCAATGATCCATGATCAATCCTTTCCCAAACTGGAGTATTCCTGTATTGATGAACAATATCTATTTACAAATATAATTCCCAATCAATGATCAATCTTTTCCTAAGCTAGAGCATTCCTGTATTAATGACCAATAACTATTTACAAATATAATTATCAATCAATGATCATTTCTTTCCTATACTAGAGTGTTCCTGTATTAATGAGCAATGTCTTTTTATGAATATAATTACCAATCAATGATCAATCGTTTCCTAAACTAGAGTATTCTTGTATTAATGAGCAATATCTATTTACATATATAATCACCAATCAATGATCAATTCTTTCCTATTACTAAAGCATTCCTACATTAAAGAGCAATATCTATTGCTCTTTATTACCAATCAATGATTACCAATCAATGATCAATCCTTTCCTATACTAGAGTGTTCCTGTATTAATGAGTGATATCTGTTTACAAATACAACTAGTAATCAATGATCAATCATTTTCTAAACTGGAGTATTCTTTTATTAATGAGCAATATCTATTTATGAATATAATCACCAATCAATGATCAATCCTTTCCTAAACTGGAGTGTTCTTGTATTAATGAGCAATATCTATTCATGAATATAATAATGCCAGACAGTGATCAATCCTTTCCTATACTAGAGTGTTCCTGTATTAATTAGCAATATCTATTTACGAATATAGTTACCAATCAATGATCAATTATTTCCTATACTAGAGTGTTCCTGTATTAAAGAGCAATATCTATTTGCAAATATAATTAATTACCAATCAATGATCAATCCATTCCTAAATTAGAGTATTCCTGTATTAATTAGCAATATCTATTTGTGAATATAATTATCAATCAATGATCATTTCTTACCTATACTAGAGTGTTCCTGTATTAAAGAGCAATATCTATTTATGAATATAATTACCAATCCATGATCAATCCTTTCCTAAATTAGAGTATTCCTATACTAATGAGCAGTTACTATTTATGAATATAATTAACAATTAATGATCAATTCTTTTCTAATAATTCTTTTCTAATAATTCCATTAAAAGAGGAATGTACCTGTATTAATGAGCAATATCTATTTACAAATATAATTATCGATCAGTGATCAATCCTTTCCTAAACTAGAGTATTCCTGTATTAATGAGCAATATCTATTTATGAATATAGTTACTAATCAATTATCAATCCTTTCCTAAACTAGAGTATTCCTGTATTAATGAGCAGTTACTGTTTATGAATATAATTAACAATTAATGATCAATTCTTTTCTAAACTGGAATGTTCCTGTATTAATGAGCAATATCTATTTACAAATATAATTACCAATCAATGATCAATCCTT